GAGTAGGGCAGAGAATGGGACAGGAGGATGGAGTCCACAAGGCTGTAGAGAAAGTGGGCCTTCTGGTAAATTCCCATTTTTAGTAATTATTCTTGCTAAGTTGGTGCTAAGCTCAGGTGTTATTTATGCCTGAATAAGCTTATTGTTGCCAGGCCCCTTTAAATGTTGGCGCCCTTGGGCAGAGCCACACTTGCTTCCCCTAGTTATATCTCTGAGGAGGCCTGATGCTCTGGGGCTCTTGCACAGGAGGAGGGTCAGTGAGGCAGTGGGGCTGGCTAGGTCAAGGTGAAGCAAAATCAGAAGTCAAGGGGCAGTAGTCAGTCACAGACTGCCCATTCATACTGGGAAGGCACGAAGACAAAGTGGGACAGGGAATGCTGATTTCAGGGGAGAGGAAGCAGGCTGTTCTGCCCGGAAGGTTGAGCGTGGTATCTGGAGGGAGGGGCATGTAAGGTACCTGCAGAGAAGTGGCCTGTGGGAGATATACTGTGCAAAGCTCCAGGGGTGGGGAACCTGCAGCCTTGAGGCCACATGTGGCCTTCTGGGTCCTCAAGCATGGCCCTTTGACTGAATCCAAACTTCACAGAACAAATCCTTTTATTAAGGACCCTATTAAGGGGATATTAAACATCTCGTCTAAGCCTTAGAGTGATAGAATGCTGGGAAAGCTTGTTTTATTCTGGAGGCAAAAGGGAGGCATTGGAGGCTTCCGAGCAAGGGAGGGCTGTGATCACACCTGGGCCTCCAAAGATTATTTTAGAAGCTTTGTGGAGGGTGGATCAGAGTGGACACTGGAAGCAGGGAGACCAAGCAGGAGGCGATTGTGCCAGTCCAGCAAAAACTTGAGGAAAGAATTGGCAAAGTCTTAGCTAGCTGGAGAGGGAGAGAGAAAAGATGCTGAGGTGATCAAGCCCTGTAAGTAGGAGGACGGGAGTACCGTGAGTGGAAGAGGAAAGTTAGGAGGCGGGGGAGTATGACTGCTTCTGGTCAGGATGTGCCAACCGGGAGAGATCTACGGCACATGCAGGTAGAGATGTCTAACAGGTATGTGGTGACACTGACCTGGCACAGAGGCCAGAGATGCTATCTGTATTTGCAGATCTGGGAGTTAAGTCAAACAGAGCCTCCTTCAGCCACCTTTCCCTGATCAATTCAATCCTTCCAACAGAACAAGCATCAATAAAGTGCCTACTATGTGCATAGTTTGTGCTAGGCACAGGGATTATTAGACAAAACCCAAACAGTCCCTACCTGTAAGAAGTTTGTATTCTTCTTGGGGGGGGGTGGAGAGGACAGTCTCTCCCAGAGTCATGGAACTTAGTATGTGAAATGAGCTCAGATGGTGTCCAGCTGGAACCATTTGCTAAAGAAATCAGTCCCCAATATAGGGCATCCAGGCTCTCCCAGAAGACCTCCCAGACTGCTTGAGGAAGGATGTCTCACATCAAGTCTGAATCTGCCTTTGGCTCTGGTGTCAAAGAGGGTTCAAATCTCACCATTCATCAAAATTCAATCAAAATTCACCATTCAAATCGATATGAACTTGGGCAAGGGACTTGACTGCCCTGGGCCTCAGTTTCCCTAATTGCAAAATGCAGTTGCTGGACTGCATGACTTCCGAGGTCTCTTCTAGGAGCCTGTGATATGTCTGAGGTCCACACTCTTCCTCCTGGGGCCAATAACCTCTCTTCCATCTGATAGCCGTCTGTATACTCAAAGACGGCTCCCACGGCCCCAGTGCTCCTGTGTGGTATAGATAGTGATACTAAGTAAGTTTTAGAGGAACAAGGCGTTTACATGGGCACATTGTATTCACCACCGAGGCTCATGGTCACTTTGTATCCTGCCCCACCTCCAGCTAAGGCTCCGTATCCACAAGGAGCTGAGTGTCCGTTGTTATATCAAGGCTCCAGGTGTGGGAGGCTCGAGGGCTGCCTGCCCCCGCAGCTGCTGCAGCCATAGCCTGCTGGCCCGCCAGCAGCAAAGGCAGAGGGGGGAGCTGTGGAGAGCACCTCCCTTCCTCTGGGAGAACTCCTTCCCTTTAGCATTCAGCTCTGTTCTAACGTGCCTTGTTCTCTTTCCTCACCCTCTTTCCCTGTGCCAGGCACTGGGAACGGGGCCCTACACACTGTAGGATTTTAGTTTGTCAGACTGAACTGGATGGGGCTGCCTCATGTGGCTGCATCAGGACTGCCCCCTCTGCTGTTAGATGTGCTGTCCCTCTCTGTGGTACACCCCTTCCCCACTGTGGGTGCCACAGCAAAGCAGACTGACTGGGGACCTATAACCCCAGGGCAGGCAATGAGAGAGAGAGAGAGAGAGAGAGAGAGAGAGAGAGAGAGAGAGAGAGAGAGAGAGAGAGAGAGAGAGAGAGAGAGAGTGTGTGTGTGTGTGTATGTGTACACAAAACTGGGACCAAGACTGCTGAGACAAGGTGCCAGGGCAGAATTCCTTCCCTGAGGTAGGCTGTCTCCAAGTTTGTGAGCCACAGCCTGAAGGCTCTTAGGCAAGGGCTGGGAAGGAGGCTCTGAACCCTCTGACAGAGATTGGAGGCTGAGCTCAGGGTTGAGAGTTGGCATCCCCTAGCGACTTATCCCGCTTGCCTTGGGGATCAGGCTCTGTGGGAGAGACACCTATTCTCCACATTTCCTGGGGCTTGGTGCCACTCTCCATCTGGGCCTGAAAGGACATGAACTTTCCCACTGGCTCTTGAACCTACTCACATTGGGTGAAAATGAGTAACCCCTACCAGGGTACCCCAACTTCTTGAGTCCAGGGACCTGAATCAGAGATTTCCAAACCCGAGGACTCTAACCCTAACCTCATGAAGTGGGGCACCAAGGCCCCTAACCCTATAGGAATGGAGCCCAGATCAGAGCCCCTCCCTGGAGCCATGAGGCTGGCCCCACTTTGGCTTCCTGGGCCTGGTGAGGGGCTTTGCAGAGCCTAGACTGGACCCAGCAGTACCAACTTTTTCCTTTACTTCCTACCTCTTCTTTTCTACCAAAGTCCACACCAAAGGCTCCTTGCTGCCCTGTCCCCAAGCCCTATGCCTCCCAAGCCAGCATGCCTGGGCTGTATTCAGGAAGCCAGGGACCTGTGCCCACTTGTGATCTGGAGTATGGCCTCCCTCAGTGGAACTCCATAGTCCAGCCACCCTCGCAGGGGCCCAATGAGCTCTGTATAAAGCCTGTGATGAAGCAGCTGACTGGGTGCACTCAGCTGCTGGCTGGCCTCAAGCCCTGGGCAAACCTATGCTTCCTACAAGGGAGACTCGGGAAGCTGTCCTGAGGCAGCCCAGTTTCCACATTTAGGTTCCCCAACAACCCTTCCATCCTAATGGATGGAGGTCTGAGCCCCTCTTCACGCTTCAGTCAAGTTCAGTGGTTCTGTGTGTATGTGAGATCCGGAGAGGAGCAGAAAGGAGAGAGGGAAACAAGCAGGGAGAGGGAGAGGAAGAGACAGACAGAGAGAGACAGGACGCTTCCCTCTCCCTTTTTGGTAGCAAGGTTGGCCTTCGAGGATAGACAGAAAGATAGACAAATGCAGTCTGTTTCCAAGACATGGCTGGAATTTTCCCAGGCCAATGCCACAAAGGACCACTCCCAATACTAGCATGGGGAGGGTGGTGGGACCATCTTGGATTGACTCAACAGGCAGAACTTGCAGGTTCAGGTGGTCCGATGGCCCCTTTACCATGGCCGGCCACCTCTGGACAGCTTCTGTGCAGTTCTGGGGGACACTGCCCAGCTGGAGCATCCAGGTGACCATGGTAGAAAAAGTCTTGCAGCCCCTTCCACACGAGGGCACCTAGCCCACAGAAGGGAAGGCTTAAGACATGGGTCCTATCTAGAATTGCTAGAAGGGCTGGCATGTGGCAGAGACGGACCTGTTCTGCTTGACTGAGGGCAGAACCAGGAGCAATGGGGGAGGATGGGTAGAGACGCCCATTTGGGCTCAATGTCCGTCTGAAAAAACTGCCTAGTAACCAAAGCTGCTCCAAAGCAGGAGTTACCTTGGGAGGTCCCCAGGGCTCATTTATGGGCTGGACACTTGCCAAGCAGGTTGCAGAGTGGATTCCTTAAGTGTGTGCTGGACTAGATGTGCCCTGAACTTCCTTCCAGCACATAACTATTGTTTGTCTGGTATGTGCAGAGATGGGTTTCCTGACTTGAGCCTGGCTCCCTTTATGCTCAACTGTACTGAAGCCTGGGAAGCCGGGATGCTCAGCTCCATGACAGCACTGACTTTAAAAGGCACTGCTATGTCACCAGTCTGGACTCCTTCTCCAAGATCAGGCCTTGGTCCTCAGGATGGAGCCCGATAGCATGTGCTTCTTCAAAGCCCATGCTTGAAGGCCCAGGGTAGCTGGCAGAGAGGCCTGGAAGCTGAGAGGAGTAGAGGGCTATGGCTACAATTCTGGTGCTAGGCGGAGGTGGAACCAAAGGAGGTTGCTGTTGCCCCATTTTGCCCCATTCAGGCAGCAAAGGCCCCAGGCCTAAGGAGAGAGGGAAGGGGAGTTCCCAGGCAGCTCTTGCCTGGCCTCTCACTCCGCCAAGGCCTGGCTGGCTCTTCTCCCCTCCTTGGTCTGTATCAACTCCCAGTCTGCTCCACCCTCTGCTGCCCACAGGCCTAACGGTGGAAAAAGGCCAAAGACGTTCCTTTCTTTATTTAGAAAACTTGAGGAAGACTTCTGTCCATCCATCTTACATACCAGTAGGAAGGGTGGGTATCTGGCCTGGGCCCAGAGAGCCTTAGGCATCCCAGTCTAGGCCAGAGAAGTCAGACAGTCTCCCTAAGGCATTTGAAGCTGGCCCCGAGGAACGGGCCCCGAGTGCAGCAGATGGGAGAGCTGAGAAGGTCCTGAGCTTGGTGGGGGCTGGTGGTCATGCCCTGACCACCTAGATGCCCCAAGAGCATCCTGTCCTCACCCTAACAGCCCCTGAGGCCCCTGTTACCAGGGGGCAGGGGAGCCATGCCTGAGAAGCAGCCTGAGACTCAGGCTGGCCAACACTATTTCTTTCGCCGGGCAGCCCTGGAGCTGTTTCCAGGCCCCTCTGAGCTCTGGGCTTGGGACCGTTCCTTGCTCCCCTTCTCCTTCTGGGAGGCCGGCTTGTTCTTCTCCCCACCTGCTGTTTCAGGCCTCTGGGGCCTGGGAAGGAGCAGCGCCTGCAGGAGGTGGATGACCCCCACGGAGCAGATGAGGCCCCAGAGCAGCACTGGGGCAGCTAGGGGGGTCAGCTGATCCCGCAGCCAGCGCAGGGCTCGAGGCAGCAGGCTGGCTGAGCTGTGCGGGGGTCGGCCTGGGCTCTTGTCCTAGAGGAGAAAGAGAGATGAACATCCTGCCAACAGCCGTTAACAGCTGCACTAATGATAAAGAGCGTTTTGGTAATGTTGGCAGCTTTACCAAAGCTTTCTCCATTTTCCACGTGGAGAAACTGAGGGGACTTGCTCAAAGCCAGACGGTAAGGGGTGAAGCCGGGCCCTGCCTGCTTTTGTTGGGCCCCAGCCCTGGCCTCGTTGCACAGAGGCGTGCCTTCCCAGGCATCCTGCCCCACTCCCAGCCTGGCCACGGGCCACTGGGTCCCTCCCTACCTGAAGGCCAAACTGGGTAAGCAACGAGTCCAGCTTCGGGTCCCCCAAAGACACTGGGGGAAAGAACTCCTCAGACCACTTTCGCCGCCACCATCGGCTAAAAGACAGAAAAAGAAATGCAGGCCAGCAGGGGGCTGGGGGGGGCACTTCACACCCGGTCCCCTTCCCAGCCTGCAACTGCCTCTGCCACATGGTAGCACATGGCTGTTCTGCCACTCTCGATGTCCCCTCCTCAGGCCAAGTCCTCATATATGCTCCCAGGGGCCCACCCCTGCCCTCTGGTCCTGCCCCTTGCCCCCCACCAGGGCCCCACACCCCTGTGCCACACTAGGGCCTCACCCTTGCTCCCCTGGCCGTGAGAACCAGTACTTGTACAGCTGTGCCCGGATATATGTAGGTGACTGCTCCCAGAATGGGTACTTGGACATCTCGACCTGCAGGAGGCGGATCACTGACGGAGGGGAGGGAAACTGTTGAGGATGCTGCCCCCAATGTCAAGACCTCTGCTCCTTAGACTCAGCCCCTTCCTCACTCTGTAGCAGAGGGATGACTATGAAGAGCGGGGGGGGGGGCTGCCCAGGACCCCTCCCCTGCCCATCTCCTCCAGCACAAGGACTTCTCCTTCTCAGCCCCCACCCTTACCCCGCTCCCATGCTTTCCTCTGGAGCCAGGGGCCCAGGCCCCTTCCCTGCGTCCCCTTCTTTCAGCACTAGGACCCCTGCCCCTCCTCCTCACCGGGTGCTTTCCCCTGAAGCAGGCGGTAGACGAGACTGGAAAACCAGGGGCTGTGGGTGTGATGGCCCAGGGCAGCAAACCACATTTGCCAGTCTAGGCGGGGCTGGTGGGGAACCACGATGGGGGGGGCCACGCTGACGTTCCCTGGCTTATACATGAACTCGATCTCCTTGTGGACCCAGAAAGGGCAGGAGGTGAGGGTCCCAATAGGCACCACATCCTCCCCCTCCCCTCCACTAAGGACTTCCCTCCTGCAGGGTCCTGTGCTAGCAGGCCACGGGACAGCTCCTCACATGCTGGGAGGACAGGTCGAGGGGTCACGGGGAAGAAATGTGAACCAAGAAAGGCAGGGCAGTGAAGCCCTAAGAATCAGGCAGGCACCTGCCTTTGCTGGGGAGGGGGAGGGAATCAGAGGGCTTCACAGAGGCGGCAGCATGACAAGCCAAGGGTGTCGGCAGGGGAGATGCCAGAGGGGTCCATCCCAGGGATGTGTAGTGGGGGGTCAGGGAGGGGAACAAGTGGAAGGCTGGTAGAGCCCCCGCCATAAATACGGCTCCGAGCCCTGACTTCTTGTGTGCTTTCTGGTCCCCGCCTCCTGACGCCGGGGAAGGACCTTGCCCTGCAAGACTCCCGTCTGCAGTGACTCTGAGGCATCTCTCGCCAGGAGTGACCTTTGCTGCTCCTCTGCCCTCACGCCAGCACCCACCCCAGCCTTGGTGGAGGCCCCCCCCTCACCGTCCAGCTCTGTCCATCATAGCTGCCCTCCAGGACCACCTCGGGCCGACCGCCCAGGCCCGTCATGCGGCGGAAGAGGCCGTAGGAATTAGCCAGCTGCAGGCGCTCCACGGCGCCAAACAGGCGATAGGCCCCGGGCCACAGCTGCCTGTTGGTGCCCGGCTCCAGATAGGTGTAGGGTACCTGAGACAAATTACAGTGCGGGTGTCCACCAAGCCCAGCAGCGCCAGGCTGGCACGGAGGCCTCACCCCGCCACACCCCCTTCCCCCCCCCCACTCACCAGGCTGATTGTGAACATGGCCACAGTAGCCGCACCTATGATGGATAGCTGGATGGTGGCCTTGAGCTTTCCTAGCCATCTGCGGATCCGGGCACACCTAGGGGACAAGGGGGCACATCCCAACAAGCTTCTCCTGTGTCTCTGCGGCCTGTCCTGCCTCATGTCACCCTTTCTCAAGCCAACCAAACTTAGGCATTAGTAAAGGAAGAAGCCCTCGCGCCACTGGCCAACATTAGGGGATGAGCTCTCTGAAGGCCCAGCACAGAGCCCTGTGTGCTTGAGTAGGGCTTTGCTCAATGTTTACTACGAGGGGGGGCTGGAGAAGGGGCCCAGCCCCAGCCCGGCCGGCTTAGTACCTGTAGAGGGCAGTCAGCAGCACCCAGAGCAGGGAAGCCATGCCCAGCCACACAGAGGGCATCGTGACCACCTTTAGCCACTGGGAGAACTCGTGGAAGGTGAAGGCTGTGGAGGAGGAGGAAGAGGAAGGCATCAGGAAGGGGAGTGGCCGGTGAAAGGAAGGCTGGCTTGAGAGGCCTGACCAAACCCTGCCACCTCCTCCCCCATCCTGTGCACCTGGCACACTCTTCCCCTCCCCCCCAATCTGGAAGCTTGATTCTCTGTCCTACCTGTCTTGGCCTGAATGCTGCCCCACTCTGGGTCCAGCTCCAGATCAAAGTAGTGCGCTGTACCGTAGGCCAGGAGCCCATAAACAGCCACCTCCAGCAGCAGGGACAGGCCAGTCAGGAGCCGCTGGGCCCAGGCTGCAGAGACAGGGACGGGAGCGGGGCTGTGGGGCCTGGGGCCTGCTGGGCCCAGGTCACTGCTACCCAGGGCCAAGAGCGGGGCTGGCACTTACAAGCAGGTGGCTGCTTCGTTCGGCCTGTGCCCAGCCACCAGGCCACGTGCTGATCATCCAGCAGGGATGTGGTGAGCACCAGGGTGAGCAGGTTGAAGAAGTTGTAATTCCCTGTGAGGATGATGAGGACCTGGAGCAAGGCCTGGGGAAGGGCGGACAGAGCAGTCAGGTGGTGGCAACTCCACAAGGTGGCAGGGAGGAGGGAAGTGGGGAACGAGGGATGGGGCAGGAGGGGAAGGAGGGAGGAAGGGGAGTGGGGGGGAGAAGGGAAGAGCCAGGAGGAATAGGGGAGGAGGCAGAGGGAGGAAGAGACAGAGGGGGAGGGAGGGAGCACCAGAGACTCCCTACTAGCCAGGGAACAAAATGCACTCATGAGGCAGCCTTTCCCAGGCCTCCCCAGCCCTCCAGTTTCCTTCCCCCTGTGGCATCTCTGATCTGCTCCCCACCCCAAGGCCAAGCAGGCCAGGCCTTGCCAGGCCTCCCCAGCCCTCCAGCTGCCTTCCCCTGTGGCATCTCTGATCTGCTCCCTGCCCCAAGGCCTAGCAGGCTAGGCCTACACAACCATGCCAAGTGGCCATCCCACCCCAGGCTGGAAGCCCTCCCTATCCAGGTAGCCCTTCGGCCCTCTGGGGCCCAGCAGGTGCCTCTAATCCCCCTTCTGTGTGACAGGCCATCAAATGTTTGAGGACCACTAGCATGCCCCCACCCCCCAGCTTTTCTCGCACAGGGGAACCACCCCAGCCCCTTCCATTGACCCTCATAAGGCCCTCATCATCCTGGGTCCTCTCCCTGCCATTGTGCGCCCCCTTCTCCAAGTCCTTCCTAAGCTGAAGCAGCCAGAGCCAAACCAAATAGTTTTGAACAACTTCGGTTGCCATAGAAGACTATTAAAGCACTGTAAGCTTGTGGTCCACTAAAAGCCTCAGACCTTTTTCCAATGAACTCTTCAGCCATGCCTCCCCCATCCTGGACTCATGAGGCTGACTTTTGTCTGCTTTTTCACACAAGACTTGACACACGTCAGGCCAGTAACAGCTATCTCCACAGATTTAGTCTAAAGTTCCGGCATGTGAGATCTGTGTGAACCCTGGTCAGTAGCCAGCTGGCCCTCCCAGTTTTTGTCAGCTGACATTCCAGGCACACCTGTGTTCAGGTCACTTGTGACAACGTGACCCGGCCTGGGCTTCTCCATTGCAGACCTTCTCCAGAGCTGGCATCAATGGCCACTCTCTGGGACATGGGTTCAGCCATGAATCCAAATTCCCCTAGGATCTAGGCCAGTTCCACTGGAAGGCCTACATCACCTGCTTGGTTGAAATCCAGGAAGATGACAGCCTAGGGCCTTCTGCAAGCCTTCCTGCCTCGCTCTGTTTTTCCTCCCATGAGCACTCCACCATAGGGAAGTGGAGGGCTGTGCGTGGAATGAGCTTCCATCCAGGTGAGATGCACTTACCCCCTCCAGACCCTGCTCCTCAGAGAAGCCCTCCCCTCCCTCCTTCTCCACACTGGGGCTCTCTTTGTTCCCACCAGCCTGTCACATTCAGGCCATACTTAATTTCTCACTCCTCTCCTTGGCCTTTGAGGATGGAAGCTCCCTGAGGGCAGGAATAGGGCCATTTCCCATTTCTATAGCACAAGGCCTCAAACACAGCAGGCCCTTAACAAATGCTCGATGAGTGAAAAGCCAGGGGAGAAAGGCAGAGGGGCCTGGTCCCCTCCACCCCAGGCCCCACTCTGTTCTGAGAGCCAAAGGGCCCTCTGCCCGGGCCTACCTGGGAATAGAACGCAGCAAGGCGGAGCCGGCGGATGGGGGCAAAGAACAAGACGGGTACGGCGATCTCAATGAGGAAGGTGGCCACCACACTGAGCTTGTGAAGCCAGACAGGCAGGTGGTGGGCAAACCAGGCGGCAGGTGTAGGCAGACACTGTGTCTCATAGTGGTAGGTCAGGGCTAGGGGAGGCAGAGCTGGGGCCTAAGCAAGGTTACTCTGGGTGGGGGGGGCCGGGGGGGGCCAGGGCCCCTCAGGTCAGGATGGATGGCAGTGTGGGGGCACAGGACCCTTCATGGATGGCAGGGCTAGGGCACAGGACAGGTTAAGACCTCTGGTGCCAGGGTGTCAGGGCATGATGGGGGGCTCAGGGTCCCTTGGGATGGCACGGCTGGGTCACCTGTGAGACCCCACCAAGTAGGGCAGCGGCTCGTGAGCTTGACCACTCCTGAGGCAAACATAAGACGGAAAAGAAGCCATCGAACCAGCCAGAAGGGGACGTCTGCGTGTGGGGGGGCTCCTGTCTCCTTGCCCCACGGGGGCCACAAAGGGGCTACCAGTACCGCTAGGAAACCTGTCTCCAGCAACAAGGAGTCCCTGGAGGGGCCGGGGGTAGCTATCACTGCAAGGGTCACCAGAAACCAGGCCAACCCCCACCCCCCCCCAATCAGGAAAGAACTCCTCTGTGACCCAGCCTAAGGTCTCAGAGCACCTGCCAGTCTGGGCCACGTGCAGCTTGAGTCCTCCGGGGAAAAACAAACAGGCCTGATCCTCTGGCACCAGCACTCCACAGAAACCCTGGCTCCCATCTCTGGCCCCCTCCCTCAGACAAGGAAGGCCCAGCCCCTATTTCTTCCTCCCTCCTGCACTGATCACGACGCTCCCTGGGGCTAAGGAATTCCCAATCTGGTCTGCTATGTCTCTGAGGACCTTTCCCTTGCTGGCCCAGGGCTGCTGGGGCATGTCCCCCTCCAGGACACATAACCTCCTCAAACCCGGGAACGGAGGGGCATGTCCAGTCTGGCCACTCACCACTGGAAGTACAAGAACACCTGTCCCACCTGCAGGAAGACAAAGGTTTGTGGGGTGTCCAGGCTGGCGGTGGAGGCGGCAGCTCCCTCCCCTCTCCTCCCCCCAAGGGACTTTTGCTAGGAGGAGGGCTGGAGCAGGGGGAGGGAAGGGGGTGTCCTGGGGCGTGGGGAAGAAGCAGAAGTTTTCCTAGGCTTTCCCCCAAAATCCCAAGGGAAGAGAAAGGAAGGGAAGGGAAGGGAAGCAAGATCCCAGGGCCTGCAGCGTGGGGGGAGCAGGGCAGGAAGTGGGTGGGCAGAGCTGGCCAGTGGCCTCCTTCCAGAGCAGGAGGGGGGGGAGGGGCGGGGCCAGAGTCCCCCAAGGCCCTTTCTCACCTGGTAGAGGGAGAGGTAGAGGCTCCAAAGCAGCAGATAGAGCAGGCTATGGCGCCAGGAGGGCAGCAGCAGGGCCCCCAGGCTGCACAGCGTCCCCAGGAGGCTCAGCAGCTCCATGCCCTGCTCCGTGTCCAGCCCCAGGCGTGGGGACAGCCAGAGCAGCGTGGGGACCTCCCACAGCTGCTGCCACAGACCCTTCCCCAGAGGCCGGAGCATCTTGCGGGCAGGCAGGATCCCATCGCGCCCATATAGCCCTGAGGGGAAGGCTGGTCAGGAAGGCAACTGGGCCCCACTGAAGGTGAGGGGGGGGAGGCTGGTCAACCTGGGTGTGGGCGAGGGGCCAGGAGGAAAGGGCAGGACTGTGCCCAGCCCTTATCCCAGGAGAAAAGAACAGGAGCCATCTGTAAAGGATCTGGGCCAGCAGGCAGGTCCCTGGAGAGGGGCCCAAGGGAGGCGTTCCAGGGGAAGGGTCCTACATCTGGGCGGCAGAAGGGCAGCAGATGGGGAGGGGAGGAAATTCCAGGGGTAAAAGGAGAAGACGCCAGTGGGGCAGGTCTGGTTAGGGGTCCCTAGGAGAAGAAGCAGGGGCTGAGGAGTGTTTGCAGGAGAGGATTCCAGGGGGACAGGGGGAGAGTCTCCAGGGGAACGGGCTGGGGAGGGTCGAGGAAGGGAGACTGCAACGGGAAAGAGAGAGGTCATGTGGCGAAAGCAGTCCCTGGAGGAGGGGGGAAGGGCTGGGGAGTGTTTGGAGAAATGGATTCCAAGGGGAAAGGGGGAGGGTTGGGGGGGGTAGGAGCGCCTGAGGAGTGTTCAGAAGGGCGGGATGTAAGAGGAAAGGGGGAAGTCAGGTGGGGGAAGAAGTGAGAGGGGTTAGGGGCTGGGGAGTATTTGGAGAGGAGTCCAAGAGGAAAGGGGATGTGTCCCCAGGGGAAGGGTCGGGAGGAAGGATTCTAAGGAGAAGGGGGAGGGCCTGGGGAGTGGGATTTCAGGGGGAAGGGGAGGGTCCCCACGGGAACAGCCAGGACTGGGGATTCCAAGCGGAAAGGAGGAGGGAGGGTTGGGGAATGGGATTCCAGGGCGAGGGCTCCCAGGGGGACAGTCAGGATGGGGGATTCCAAGGGGACAGGAGGAGGGGGGGGTTGGGGAGTGGGATTCCAGGGGGAGAGTCCCCAGGGGGAGGGTCCCCGGGGAGAGGGCCTGGGGAGTGGGATTCCAGGGGGAAGGGGAGGGTCCCCACGGGAAAAGCCAGGACTGAGGATTCCAAGCGGAAAGGAGGAGGGGGGGTTCGGGAGTGGGATTCCAGAGGGAGAGTCCCCAGGGGGAGGGTCCCCGGGGGGAGGGGACGGGGGTCCCGCGGCCTCACCAGGGATCTGCGCGTAGAGCGAGGCGAAGGCGAACATGAAGGCAGCCGCCACACCCTGCAGAAACAGGCGCCGGGGCAGCCGCGAGCCCGCCATGGCGGACCCGTCAGGGCCGAGGCTGGGCAGGAGCTGCCGAGACACGTCGGCCCGCCCGCAGCTGGCCCCGCCCCTCTCCTCGACCCCGCCTCCCAGTTACGCCATGGCCCTATGGCCCCGCCCTCAGGGGCTCGAAGGGAACTAGCCCGCCCCTCCAGTTACGTCACCGCACCCGCCCCTCCTCGGCCTCCTGTTCATTCAAGCCCCGCCCCGCGTGATGGCGTCAGTCAGCGTCCCCGCTCTTCTGCGGTGGGGGGGGCGAAGGAACCTCGTCCGGGAAAAGCTCCGCCTCAGTCGCCCGACGCCCCGCCCGAGGAGGAGCCTCTTTCCCCATCGTAGGGGCCCCGCCCCCTCTGTGCCTGGAAAGGAGCCTCTCGGAGCCCTCCCTTCTCCTTGGTCCCCGCCCCCTAGGTGGAGATGCCGCCAACGCCCCGCCCACCAGGCAACGCCCCCTCGCGGCCGGGTGACGTCACGGACGCGCGTCGGACGCCCGCCTTTGATCGTCACGGAGTACTCTGAGCGGGAAACGCAAAATGGCGCCAGACCGAGCGGCCTGTGCTGTGGCCTGAACGGGAAGCGGAGCCCGGAGCGGGAGCCCCGGCCCCCTGCTCGTCCATGGAGGACGTCGAGACCCGCTTCGCCCACCTCCTGCAGCCCATCCGCGACCTCACCAAGAACTGGGAGGTGGATGTGGCGGCGCAGCTGGGCGAGTACCTGGAGGAGGTGACGTCAGGGCGGGATGGGAGGGTGACGTCACGGAGGGCCAGGGCCGGGGCGGGGGGAGGGTCTGGGCAATGACATCACGGAAGGCCCAGAGGGGGTCAGGAGACCAGGCTGGAGTTGGAGTGGAGCCCGGCGCTCTTTAACTAGCGGGCATTGCTTAAGCGCCCGCTGTGCGGCCTGGGCTCGCTGCCCTCGGGGAGCTGACTGTCCTAGGGGGCTTCTGCGCCTTAACGCGCAGCTGCCCGGGGAGCTGCTCCTTGACGTCATCCGCTGTGTACATTGCATTGTGTATTACGTGATATTTACAAGAAGCGCACCCCCACCTCCGAGGCCCCGAGCGGGAAGGCCCCTGTGTTAGGCAGGGTTTTAGGGTAGCGAGAGACGGGCATCTCGCGGGGGGGAGCAGCCGGGAGCCGGTGTCACCGGACTAGTGCGACTGGCGAGGTGGCGGGGCTGGTGATCAGGGCCTTCGAACGCCCAGCGGAGCGTTTGGTGTTTGCTCCTGGAGGCGATAGGGAGGTGCTGGCGTTAAATGAGAGTGTGTGTCGGGGGGAGGTGGGGTGACAGGATCAGATCTGCGCTTTAGGAACATCATTTTGGTGATTGAATGGAAGATGTATCGAAGTGGGGGAGAGACTTGAGGCAGGCCCCGCCCCCAGCAGTTGTGGTAATAGTCCGGGTGGGAGAGGGAGAAGGGTCTGCACCAGAGTGGGAGCCCCTTCGGAGGAGAGAAGGGGCAGATGTGACAGCGAAATATAATCCGTGATACTCAAAAGAACGGTGGACTTGGAGTCCGTGTTACCTGACACTGGCTGATTTATGGGACCAAGTCTCCCTCAGTGTCCTTGTTTGTAAAACGTAGGCACCTCACAAGGTTTCCTAATCTCAGAGCAGCCCCTGCATACTAGCTCAGGAGATTAAGGGAGGGCACCGGGCTGTGTCTGACCCCTCTGGCTGTCTGCTTGCTGCCTCTTGCTGGAAATCGTCGGAGCACCCGGTATGCTGGCATTCTCTCCACCAGCATCCCCAGGAACAATGCTTGTTTTCTGGGCACTGGTTCACTTAGGTATTTGCATACAAACAGGTTTCTTACCTACATGTACTTATGGGGTCCCTCACCTCTGCCAGGCCTTGCCCACTCACCTCATCAGACTGCTTTCCAAAGAAGGGTGGGGAAGGGAGTATGGGAAAACTAGGACTTCCTGTAGGGAACGAAAGTCTTTATTCACTCAGGCCAGGACTAGCTTGGCTAACCAGGACAATGGGGAAGGTTCTAGTGTGAGGCTTGGAGGGAGGGAGGTCAGAAGTGCCAGGCCCCGGAAACCCTCAGGGCTTCCTCAGTATCAGCAGCTAAAGGCTGCCTTCAGGGAGGGTATTGAAAGCCTCCTCAGCCTGGCTCTTTCTAACCTGCCTTTTGACCTTTGTCTCTTGCTTGTTCTGGATGAGGGGGTATTCCTGGTGGTAGGAACAGTGTTAAGCAAAGGCCAGGAGGTGGCATTCAGTGTGGTGGGGGTAGGCCCTGCTCACCTCCCTTCTTTCTGCGTCCCTTCTCATATGTCCTGAAGCTGGACCAGATCTGCATTTCTTTTGATGAAGGCAAAACCACCATGAACTTCATTGAGGCTGCGCTGCTGATCCAGGGCTCTGCCTGTGTCTATAGTAAAAAGGTGAGCCATTGGCCAGGGACAGTCAGACTCCTCTCTCCCTACAGTGCATGGCTACGAGTGGCATTCCAGGGACTGATTCCTTGGGAGCTGGAGGGAGGCATGGCAGGGTTCCCTTGGTTTTCGGGGCTGGCCTGTAGGCCTTGCTCGCACAGGGCCCTTGGGCGCCTTCTGGGCTCTTTTTGGTGCCAGGAGCATTAGTCCTTCGTTGTGATGGCAGATAGGAGGAGTTCCTGCTTCTTCACCAACGCCTCTTCACACAAGCTGCTCCTTCTCCGAGGGTGGCAGCCCATCCCCATGATGGGTCAGTAGCTCCAGGGCTTCGTCCTTGGCCCACTGTGCCCCAGCTCAGTCATCTTGCTGCCTGTGGGCGGTCACAAGCCTTGTCTGCCCCCCCTCAGGGCCTACCTGGCCTGTGGCAGTGCTTTGTGTAGCAGAGGAAGTGAAGCACTTCATAGATGGGGGCCCCAAGGCAGAGAGGTGTCCCTCTGCGTTTGCCGGTGCATTCTCAGAGCCACGTGCGAATTCCTTGGGATGCCGGGGGAGCCACCCCGCTCAGTCAGTTATGCTGGCTTGGCTGGGGGCACGGCCTGGGTGCTGCCCTGGCACACTGGGCATTGGCTCCTCTCCTCACCCTTTTTCTCCTTTTGGCAGGTGGAGTACCTCTACTCGCTGGTCTACCAGGCTCTGGACTTCATCTCAGGCAAAAAGTAAGGACGGGAGGAAACATGGACAAGCAGGGAATCTGGAAAAGCCTTGTGGGGTCTGTTGTGCACTGTTGTGCACAAAACACCAGGGACCCTCCCCGTCGGGGTTTGTTGACAATAAGAAAACTGAGAAAAACCATGAGGACAGGAGGGAAGGCCCAGGAGGCTGGTGGAGACTGGGCCCGGGACCCAGCTGGCATGCCCCGGAAGCTTCCCCAGCTGTTCTCTGACAACTTGCATGGGAATAGCTGACCTGTCCCTGTTCGCCTCTTCTCCCCCAGGCGGAGCAAGCAGGCCACGTCTGTGCAGCCAGATGGGCAGAATACTGACGACAGCGGCGGAGCTCGCCCCGAACCTGAGGAAGAGGTGAGGCTGCAGGGGGCCTGGCCCTCCCGGAGAATTCCTGCATGCCCTGGGCTCACCCCTGCTTGGCCTTCTGAGGTCCCTGCAGGCCCTGCCAGCTGTCGCCTCTATCTCCCCACAGTTTCTGTCCCTTGATGACCTCCCCGACTCCCGGGCAAACATAGACCTGAAGAACGACCATTCTTCCATCGTACGTGGCGCTTCTCCTCACTGACCTCCCTGGTTCCTCTGGGCAGCCAGAGATCTTTGGTGGGGTGAGGCTGGGGAGCGAGGACGCGGGAGGTGGCCTCGTTCTGCATTCAGTGACTCTCTATGCCCCTTGACAGGCCGTGCCTGTCATCCCCTTGGTGCCCATGGCCCTGGTGCCCCCTGATGAAGAGGAGAAGAAGAGCAACCCACTCTATAGGTACAGGGGACCCCTGCCCGCTCTGCCCCCACTTCTCTTTTTTGCCTCCCGGGGGGGGATCCCCTCTTCTCTGTCTGCCCTTGCGCCTGTGGCCTGCACGAGGCAGGGCATGATCCTCCAAGGCCTCTTCTCAGAGCACGGTTGTTTGCCAGCACAGCCGCCGCGGGGAGGTCCTGGCCAGCCGCAAGGATTTCAGGATGAACACCTCCAGCCCCCACCCCAGCGGGGCCTTCCTGCTGGAGCCAGGAGGCCTGTCCCCAATGGAGCAGATACTGCCGAGGACCCAGCTAGGTGAGAGGGCCATAGAGCCCGAAGGAGACTGGGAGGGGACCCAACTGTTCACTGTGAGGGAATTTGTCCGTAAGAACCCTGGACAGCAAAAGTCGAGGGGCGTAATCATCCTCTCCATCCAGTAGATATTTATTAAGCACCCACTGAGTGCCAGGCACCATGATGGGTGCTGGGGATCCCGGGAATGGCGAGAACTGTCCCTGCCTCCCAAGAGGAGGGAGCAGAGAACAGCTTCTGCTCAGAGCTGGGTAACCACAACATAAACCCTAGGCCGACTTGCCAAGAGGAAGTGAGGGCCCATGCCCTCCTGTAGATCCATCGGGATTCCAGGTGAAAGTGAGGAGGGAGGGCCTTCCGGCCTTGGGATCAGCCCGAGCCAAGGCCCAGAGAGGGCAGCTGGGAGGCTGTGCTTGGAGACAGCAAGCAGGCTGGGATGGCCGGGAGCCTAAAGGAGTGTGATCGGTCTGGCAGACACCTGAACTGCACGGGCCCAGCTCCCCCCAGGCAGGAGAGGCCTGTGACCAGGGCACGTGGTCTGAACTGGGTCCATTGTGCAGAGGAGCACCCACGAGGTGCAGGGCCTTTGCTCATACCCAGGACATAGCAGGTGCCAGCCTAGAACCAGGTCACTGGGCCTCGGGTGCAGTGCCTGGGTATGTGACTGTCCCTGGAGGGCCTTCAGCCTCCTCTGATGGCCATGCCTTGAAAGCCCCTTTCTCCTGGAATGTGCTCTTTTTTGCAGACACCAGCTTGAAGAAGGGTGAAGGAGGGGGTGGGCATGAGCTCAGCCCCTTCCCCTTCTCATTCCACTCCACAGATGCCGAGAGGCCTGAGGAAATGCCCATGGATGTCTCTGTGTGCATGTCCCCGGCCCCAGTGCTCAACTTCTCCCAGGAGGATGATGAGAAGCTAGGTGTGGAGCCAAGGCTTCTGAGGGGAAAATGTTGGGCTCTCCCTCCTGCCAGAGCACTGCCTGGCTCCCAGCACTCCTCGCGCCCAGTCCTGGCCCTTGCAGCCTCAGTCCCCTTCCCTCCATTTTATTTTATGTTTTATTTTTATTTCTTTATTTTTAGGCAATTGGGGTTAAATGACTTGCCCAGGGTCACACAGCTAGTAAGTGTCAAGTGTTTGGTCTGAGACTGAATTTGAACTCAGGTCCTCCTGACTTCAGGGCCAGTGCTCTATCTACTGTGCCACTTTGCCCCCACCCTTCTCTCCATTTTAAATGGAGGCAAAACAAAATTCTGTTTTCCTTTGAGGATTCCTGCTCCCTGAGCACCTTGGTGGGGACTCCCTGGGGAGCTTCTGGGGTCACTAGTAGTGCTTCCCGGACAGTCTGGCCTCATCCCCTCCTCCCTGCCCTTCTCTAGAGGCAGCACTACCTGAAGGTGAGGAAGAGGTGGGAGGAGATTTGCTTCTTGACCCAGAGGCCCCTGAGGCCTGTCCACTGTCCCCAGAACCCGGGACCCAGCAGCAGGTAGGAGGGGTCTCAGCTGGGGCCCTGAGGAGGGTGGGAGGGCTGTGAAGTGACTGCCCTGTGACCAGGTCTCAGCTTCTTCACCTCTAAAATGAGGACAGTGATGCCTGGTGAGCCTACCCCACAGGCTTCTGGGAATGATGGCTCCAGGGGGCTTTGCAGACTTTCAAGGTATCTCAGAACATCAGTGATCACTTTGATGATTCCTAGACCAGTCAGAGGCACGAAGGCCCTATGAGGCTTCCGGACCCTCAGAGCTGTGGGCAGATGAATTGCAGGAGAGTGAATTTGGGAAGGGTCCCAGGGCTCAGCTCCCCTGGACTTCTGCCGGAGCTTCTCAGCGTATTTTAGCCCCAGTTCCAAGGAAAAAGATGGAAAGCATGTGACATACAATGTAATCACAGGCCCTCCCCTGGGCTCAGCTCTGCTCACAGGCAGCCCCTCCCCCTGCCCACTCCCTTCTGAGCAGGGCAGCAGGGATCCTGGCTGTTGCCCTGGGGCTCTCTGGGCCAAGTCCGGAGAGGCTGGGCTTCTTAAAGCATCTTGTTTCCTCCAGCCTTTGGGGGGCAGGGGCTGGCAGCGAGGGTGACCGCCTCCACTTTCCCTTCTAGGGTACCCTGGAGTCGAGTAGGTACCCACTCCGAGGCAGAACCCCAGCCACCACCCCCCAGCCATCAGGGCACCAAAAGGCAAGAGGAGAAGCTGGGGCTGATGGCAGGGTCCCTTCCTGGGGGCCTTTGGGTTAGGGGAGGGAGCCCTCTCAGAATTTCTCTGGCTCTTTTCTTGGGGCATCCTGGTAGGCCGAGCGCCCTCATTCCTCCCCTGCGAGGCAGGTAGCCTGGTATCTGGCCCTACTGGGGGTCCCAAGCGTATGGTCCTCGCTCATTGTCTGCTCTGTGTCATGTGTTGCAGGAGCCCCCGGATCCCTGGCAGAGCCTGGACCCCTTTGACTCCCTGGAGGGCAAGCCCTTCAAGAAAGGTAAGGAGTCACAGGGGATGGACGTGGGCACTGCAGGGGAAGCTGCCTGCAGAGCTGGGGAATCTGACATGGAGTGCTGGGAAAATGCTGGCTCTGGAGCCCATCCCCCGGCTCTGGCGGCCTGCTGTGACAGTGGGAGCCAGGCCCGGTGGCCAACAGGTCCTGACCGCTTGCTCCCCAGGGAGGCTGGGCTGGGTACCCACATTCTCTCCAGCGTCCCTCCCTCTCATGGCTACTTTGTCCCCGAGCCAGGCCCCATTGTCTGACTTCCTGGCTCTTGTCTCCCAGGGAGCCCTTACTCTTTGCCACAGCATTTGGAGACCTCATCTGGCAAACGCAAAAGGAAGACCTCCAGCAGACTCCAGGGGTTTCACGAGTGGTACCTGGCTGCTTGTGAGTCGAGTCCTGGGTGGGTGGAGGCCCCCTCAGGGGCAGGGGATGCTGGGGTAAACAGGTCTGAGCTTCAGGGATGCTGGCGTGACCAGCTGACCACTGACCTTGTTCTTTAGATAGTGGCTGTGGTAGCTCCCAGAAACCTCGGCACAGAGGCCCCACGTTTGCAGGTGAGGCTGGAGGAGGGTCTGAGCTGCTGTTGGGGAAGGGGGAGGGTGCCAGGCTTGGTGCAGCATGGGGGCCCTAAGCTGCTCCCCAGGACCAGAACCAAGGGTCCCGGCAATCTCTTTGTACAGACCTAGAAGCCCTCTACTGGAAGCATGTCAAGGAGCAGGTGGACGCCCTGCGGAAGCTGCGGAGGGGAGAGGTGAGGGCAGGGGGCTTGACCTTGAGAAGCCTCAGAGGCACTGTTCCCGTGCCACGCCAGACCCCTTGAGTTCATCTCTCTCCAGGAAGGCCTTCTGCCTCCATTTCCCCTGCCCAAAGCAGGTGTCAGTGGGATACTGGCAAAACGACTTGATGTGTCCACTGCAAGTAGGGCAGGAGGACGCAGATGCCAGTGCCCACACCCCGGGTGGCTGACCTCACCCTACCTCTGTCCAGGTGGCGGAGCAGCAGCCGTCCAAGGCCCAGGAAGGACTGTGGGCCCTAGAAGAGGAGCGAGTAGAGGAGTCCCCGGAGCACCTGGGAGGAGAAGGTAGCCCCTGGGGCCCGGGCTGGCCTCTGGCATCCCTGGCGGGGGAGGGGGGCACTGGTGCTGCCAGGGTCTGCGGGTGGGGCTGGCTTCCTCTATCCCATTTCCCTCAGACAGCTTCTTGGAGCTGGAGGACGCGGAGCCCGCAGAGCCGCTGGAAGGTGTCCCAGGTAGGCCTGACTCACCTGAAGCTGCTGGGGCGGGGGGAGGGCTCTACAGCCTTGTCCTTGGAGCTGACCCACGTCCCTGCTTTCCCTCCCTTAGAGCCAGAGGCCATCGGTCCGCTGAACTACGAGGAGCTGGTCCAGAGAAATGTGGTAGGTTCTTCTCGCGAGCCCGGCTGGAGGGTCGGCGGGGTGGTGGGGGCACCTGGCCCAAACACCTCCTGAGCGCCCTCCTCTTCTCCCAGGAATTATTTATTGCCAACTCTCAGAAGTATGTACATGAGACGGAGCTGTCTCAGCGCATCCAGGACTGGGAGGACACCATCGGGCCCCTGCTCCAGGAACAGGTGAGGGCGAGCCTGGGGCCCCAAGGCCCGCAGGCCCCCCTGGGCCGCCGGTGGGTGGCAGAGGCTGGCAGCAGTCAGCCTCTGCTTCCTCCTTCCAGGAGGAACACGTTCCTTTCGACATCCACAATTACGGGGACCAAGTGGTAGCCAGCTTTCAGCAGCTTAACGAGTGGTGTCCCTTTGCGGAGCTGGTGGCCGGCAAGCCCGCCTTCGAGGTGTGCCGCTCCATGCTGGCCTCCCTGCAGCTGGTGAGCGGGGAGGAGGTGGGGGGCTGGCCTGCTGGGTTGGGACCTTGAGAAGGCAAGAGGTGAAGAAGCTCTGTTCCCACCCTCCCCCTCCCCCCACCAGGCCAATGACTACACGGTGGAGATCACCCAGAAGCCAGGGCTGGCCGAGGCTGTAGACACCATGTCCCTGAGGCTCCTGACCCGCCAACGAGCCCATGAGCGCTTCCAGACATACACGGCCCCCTCCATGGCCCTGCCCTGATGGTGGGGAGCAGCTGCTTTTCTGTGTGTGTGTGTGAGAGACTGAGTCTGTTTGGGACTGGGCCCCCCCTTACAGCTGGTTTTTTCCATGTTTTGTCCAAAATTTGTCGCCTACCCTCCCTCCCTTGGCAACCCTGAAGCAGGGGAGGCTTTGCTTCTTGGTGGGTGCCTAGATGGTGCCAGGGGTCTTGGGGGCCTGCCCTTCCTCATCCCTGGTGACCAGAGCCTACTGCCATGGAGGCCAGTGTGCCTGCCGCCCCCCCCCCCCCCATAGCCGACCATCTCAGCCCTAGTCCGGAGCTCTGAGGGCCCTTCCAGTTTGTTGTTTGTACGACAGATCCGTTTATTTCCCACTCCCTGCTGAGCGACATATGTAGAGCATCGTTATCATAGAATAAACGTATCTGGTCGACCAGAGAACAGGGTGCAGGACTGCTTTGGTGCCTGGCAGGCAAAAAGCAGCAGCCGGGCTGGGCCGGGCAGCCAAGGTCAGATCAGTGCATGCCTGTCGGGGCTGGGCCCGGGCACTCAGCTGAGCATGCTGCGGAAGCGGGCCATGTGCCTCCGCACGCTGGCCGTGATCTGCTCCTCCGTCTTGCTGCGGCCGTAGTAGTCAGTGAAAATCCCGTCGGGGTTGAGCAGGTAGATGATGATGGAGTGGTCCACTATGTAGTCCTGATCCTCGTCCCGAGGCCCCGCGCTGTAGTAGACGCGGTAGGCGCGGCCGGCCTGGCTCACCTGCTCCGGGGTGCCCGTCAGCCCCAGTAGCCGCGGGTGGAACTCGCGCACATAGCGCCCCACGGCGGCCACGTCGTCCCGCTCGGGGTCCACGGTGACAAAGAGGGGTTGCACGCGCGGCAGCCCTGGCTCGGCGTCAAGCCTGCGCACCACTCCGGCCAGCTTCTCCAGCTCCTCGGGGCAGATGTCCGGGCAGTGCGTGAAGCCGAAGTACAGGAGTACCCACTGGCCGGCGAAGTCGGCCTTGCAGCGTGGACGGCCCGTGTGGTCCACCAGGTGGAAGTCCCCTTGGCCCACGGCTGCGCTGCGCAAGGCCTCCATCCGCCGCCTCTGCTGCCGCTGCTCCTTCTCGGCGCGGGCCGACAGCCACGCCACCGCCAGCCCCGTGCCAAAGAGCCCGGTCACCAGCAGGCGGGTGCGCAGGCCCGGGCCGCCCGGGGGCCCCGAGTACCGCCGGGCTCCCCAGCGCAGGTGGGCCAGGGCCAAGCGCCAGGGGCCTGGAGCCCGGAGGGGCCACATCTCACTCCTGAGTCCTGGAACACATGGAAGCAGAACGCGGGAGTGGGCAGCGGGGGAAGGGCAGAGTGGGGAGGGGGCAGAGACTTAGGAGCAAAGTAGTAGCATGTGGGGTGGGGGGAGTACCTCCTCTGAGGGGGCCACTGACAGCACGTGGCAGGCACCTTCGGTCATGCGGGACCCCCTCCCCCTCTTAGACTTCGAGCACAGGCTCGGTACACAGTAGGCGCCTAATCACTGCTGTTTAACCCATGTAATCTGAGCTTGGCACCTGGACTGGGGGTCGAAGTGCGGACGCCAAGAGGAGGTCCAGAAGGACCCCCGCCGAGGCTAGTTTCGCCCCCTCCCCCGCACCTGAGGTAGGACGGGGAGGGGGGGAGGGAAGGGGGCGCATGCGCTCACCTCTCCCACGCCGTTTCCACGCGCCCGCCGACCCTACGTCCGGAAGCTCTTTTTTTGTGATCTCGCGAGATGAATACACGCACGATCAAGTCCGGAAGGTTGGTTCGATGGGCGTCGGACTCTGGCTCAGCCGGCAACAGAGGAAGCCACCTTAGACTGGAGGCCAAAGAGCTTGCGCAGCGTGCGGGGCGGGGCCGGCGGGCTAAAAATCATGCTGCGCCTGCGCAGGGGCTAGTGCAACTGCGAGGCGACGGCCTACGATAGTGCGCATGAGCACCGCCAGATCTCCGTCCAAGTACGCGAGCGCCCCCTGCTGCCCCTGCGGCGTACTGTGCTTGAGTGGGCGGGTATTTGCTCCCAATTCTGCTGCTTCCATCCCCACTTTACAGATAAGGAAACTGAGGCCGAGGGAGGTAAGGTGACTTGCCCTGGGTGATTCCTGGCACTTGAGGATTCGAACTCAGGCCTCCTAACAATACCCACTCCTCTATGCGTGTGGCCCCCCACTTTGTTCGCACAAAGCTGTGCGCACCAGGCTCCCCGCCCCAGGCTGGGGTGAAGGGGAGCCGGTGGGCGGCAGGAGAGGAGATCAGACCTCGGACGCTCGGTCGAGGCTGGCGGGATGCCCGTGACGTCACCGCCCATGCCCACGTGGTATTCCCGGAGCCGGGCCAGGTTTCGCGGGGGCGCAGAGAGAGGACCAGCGGGGCCATGCCCCCAGAAGCGAGCTGAGTTCACGCCCAAACGGGCACTTTATTCCCGGGGAGAGGACCCCCCCCAGCAAGGGACCCGGGCAGCAGCAGCTGCAGGGAAAGGCCCCGTTTGGAAGGCCCCCGGAGGGCCCCCGGGGGGAACGGGGACGGACGCAGGATGTGTCCGGAGGGCCAGTCTGGGTGGGAGGTCAAGTCAGGGAAGGGAGGGAGCGGGGGGTGGGGGGCCAGACTGTGGCCGATGCGGGGGGCCGTCGCTTGGCCGGTCGCCCTGGACAGAAGGGCGCCTCGGGAGCCGCGGTCCGGCTCTCTCTGGCTCAGCCCCTCATGGAAGGGGGGAGGATGAGCTCCCTGAAGGAGGGGTCTGGCACGAAGGGCTCCCTGCTGGACAGCGTCAGGGCCTCCTGAAGCTTCTGCTGGTGCTTCGGGCTCAGGCCCGAGCCCTTGTGGTGGATTCGAATCCAGGGTGTCCCTGGGCAGGGAATGGAGGCGTAGCTGTCACCCCCAGCCGGCAGGCAGGCAGGCCGCAAGCGCTAAGAAAGTCACTGCCCTCCAGGAGCTTACATTCTGATGGGGGGGGGGACAGCACGCAAAAGGGGACACAAAGAAGGGGGTGGGGGGAGGTGCCCTGCCAGACCAGAGGGAGATTCGAGACTTAAAACACGATGCTGGCACGTGCTCGGAGATGCTGGCACGTGCTCGGAGCCGCAGGCTCCCTCTCTTCCCCTCCCTGGGGCAGGAAGTCTGACGCAGCCCCCCGGTCCAGCCCCTTCCCCTCCAGCTGTATGCTGCAAGGGGGCTCAGGCCTCCCTTGACCTACAAGCGCCTGCCCGCCCTTGACCCCGCTGCTGGCCCCTCTGCTCCCACCCGGCGCTCCCCTGGAGCTGCCACATTACTCATGAGACCTCCTGTGCCTCCTTTCAGGCCTCACCTTCCCGGGCCTCAGCTGCTTCTGGCACTGGTGCCAGCCCTCCAGGGCATGCCCAGTGACCCTTAGCAAGTCACCTGCCCATTTCTTCATGGGTGAGGCAGAGTCAAAATACATCGTTCCCTGTCTCAAGGGGTTGGGAATCCTTAATGCACCAGGGACCTAGGAGTTCTTTTTATTCTTTTTTGTCCTTGGGCGACAATCTTGGTTCTCCTCCTGCCTTGTCGGCCACTCAGCCCCTCCAGGCCCCTTCAGGCAGGTTTGTCGTAGGCCCTTTTCCTTTTCCACTCTCTCCACTGACTCCCCCCACTCGCCGAAGTCCACCGTAGTGCAGGTGACTGAAGCCTGAGTCTCCTATCCTGGCCTCGCTCCTGAGCCAGCATCTTCACCTAGTCACCCCGCCAGCCCCATCTGACACTGAGTTCATCCAGTCCAGGAGTGTCTGTCGTGGTCCTGACATTCACCCTCTCCCTTACAAACAGTTCTTTTATATTGCCAGCCTGGCACTCCCCCTGTGCCCTCTGCTTGCTGTGCTCTTCACACCCTTTAAAGCCTAGCCTCCACAAAGACCCTGTCACCCCCAGGCTGGCCTGACCCCCAAGAACCGGACAAGAGTCACATCCTTCATAGCTCTCTCTACCGATGCCTCAGCCCTCCCCTCCTCTAGTGGGAGCTCCTGAGACTGGGACTGTCAGGCTCGGACTCTCGCTTGCTGCCCAATGCAGGGCACTGTATGCAGCAGGCACTTAGTATGTGTGTGTGTGAATTGAACTAGCTCAGAGTTGTGTTTTGAGGCCTGACTATAAAAGCCAACAGAGGCAGGAAAAGACCCTGAGAGGGAGACAGAATCTGAGGATGGGGGTAGGAGGGAAAGAAGGGGCAGCCAAGTCTAGTCACAGACCAGAGGGGTTTGGAAGAGGATGTGGTCATAAGGAGGTGGGTCCTGGAGGCTTTGACAACAGGCTTTAGTGAGCACTGGGTCAGTAGCTTCATGGAATGCACAGTGTGTCACAGAGGGACAGAAGGAAAGCATGACCCCTGGGGAGTCAGTGGGGAGGAGGGTCAGGGTCACAGGCCAGGAACTGAGGAAGGGCACCAGGCTGGCCAGGAATCAGCAACCAGGGATAAAGGTTGTAAAGGGAACCGTTTCACCCAGAACCCAGAGGGATGGGGAAGCCAAGCAGGCTGGATGTCAGCCAGTCTCCCTGAGCCTGAAAACGGAGGCGGCTGGGCCCCCTGGGCCCTGAGGTCTAGATCTAGGATGCCAGGACACCCATGACTAAAGGTGGTCTGCAGGGAGGGCAGATGGGAAGGACCCAAGGAGGCTGCTGAGGATTCAGTGGTTTGGCTCAGGTATCATGTGCTAAGTGGCTTAGGACTTTGAATGTGCATGTGTGAGCGTGTGAGGCTCTGCACCAGGTGTGGTGCCCACAGAGTGCTTCCTATGCCACTCATGGCCTCTGCCCTTCTTGGAGTGTGAATGTTCGGAAGCGGGGTGGCGGGGACACATGTGTGCTCCTCAGGTACCCAGGCAGCTGGAACAGTCTTTTCTCTGTCCCTCCAGGGAAGGGCCAGGGGCTGGAACCTTTGGTCACGGGAGGTCTCCTGCAGGAACCCTGCACCCCCTGACCCCGACCCGGGCTCTCACCTGCAGTGACTCTCTGTCCTATGCTCACCAGTAGCTCCAGCCCCACGTCATGGTGGAGGGGCTCTCCTGCCTTGTTCCGGCCAGCCCCCAGCTCATGGAGAACCTGGGCCAGAGGCAGGGCCTGGATCTTCTCCACGGTGCCTGAGGAGGGGAGTTGGAGAGTGTGTGTGTGGGAGGAGCAAAGGCAGTGATCAGGAACAGATGCAGGGGACATCTGGAGGAGGTGGGAGTGATGGGGCATGGGGGTGCACAAAGGCAGGTGTGTGTGTGCTTGTCAGGGAGGACCTGCAGGGGGCAGAGATGGGCCAGACCTTGAAATGAAGGTTCTCCTCACCCTCCGAAGCTGTTCTCAGCTCCTCCTTGGTGGGGGCTGTGGGGAGCAGGCCTTGGCGCTGGGCAGGAGATCCTGAGCACAGGGCTTGGGCCAGCTTAGGGGCCACCCCCTGGGCCTCCAGCATGGCCCGGAACCGGCCCAAGGCAGAGCCATTGTCCAGCGTGGCCTCGACCCGGGCTGCACCCTGGGCCAAGGTTGGGGCTTGTCCATTCAGCCACAGCAGGGATCCTCCTGGGGATGGGGATTGGGCAGGGCCAGTAAGCAGGGGAGACAAAGAGAGCCCTTCCCTCTCCCCTTTTCCCTCCCTCTCCCAAAACACACCTAGCTGGGTGATGAGGTCCCGTAAGTCCGGGGGACCGCCTCCCTCCAGGCACTGTATGGCCTCCTCCACTTCGAGCCCATGGCCCACACAGCAGCCCAGAGGGCTGTCCATGGCAGTCAGTGCAGCTGCCACCTGGATCCCCAGGCGGGCCCCAACTCCCACCTGGAGAGACCCATCCCACGGTCACCCTCAGGGGAGAGACCCACTTCAGGTTCATCGTCTGGGCCAACAACACCTGCCCAACCCTTATCAATATCCCCGGGAGATATGGTCACCAGTCTGCCAGCCCTGAGCCCTCCCTTCCTTCCCTGTGTCTGTCCTTCTCACACCATCTTCTCAGCCACCCAGGCTAGAAACCTCCTGATCACACTGGACTCTTCTCTCTCCTTTATCCTTCACTTCCAATCAACTACAAAGCCCCACTGACTTTCCTCTACAAATCTGTCCTTTCCTTCCCTTCTCCCTCCCTTCTCTTCCCTTCTTCCTCTTCCTTTCTCCGTCCCCCACTTTCTCTCTTCCCTCCTGGCTCCCTTCTCTTCCCCTTCTTCCTTCCCTCCTCTCCCCTCGTCACCTCATCTCACATCTCCTTCCTGCCCCCATTAGAGCCACGTCTCCTCTGATAAATGTCCAATGTCCTAACAGTTCTCCTCCTTGCCCCCACCCTTCCTCCTCTCCCCTGGCCACCCTGCATCGTAAGGCTAAGCCTCCTAAGACACATCTCGCTTCATGTCAGCCAGTGCCTCCGTCTCCTTTCTGGTAAATTGGTAAATTGGCCAGTCAATCAACAAACATTGATTAAGTGCCAACTGTGCACCAGGCTGGAGATACCAACACCAAAAGTGTGATCAGTTCTGCTCCTCACAGAGCTTAGATTTTTGGAGGAGGGGAAGGGAAAGAGCATGGACATACATACTTTGTCTGAAGACCCAGCTGGGGAAGAGGATCTTGGGGAATGACTGTTGAGAATATTTCTCAAGTTTTTTCCCACCTCATGTCTTTTTTCCCCTCCTTAATTAAATGCCTTTTTAAAAAAAACAACAACCGAACTCGTGCTATTGTTTATCTGGGTAATGACTGAATACCTAGTCCTAAACTGGTCCAAACGTCTGGAGGAGATGGGGTGACAAAGGCAAATATGGGGCTGTGTGCTTGTCATGGAGGACCTGCAGGGGGCAGAGATGAGCCAGACCTTGATTTTAGAGTTCTCATCCTCCGAAGCTGCTCTCAGCTCCT